GTATTTTTGTGAAATGTAAAGTAATAAATGGAATAAGTGTATTAATATGATAATGTTTAATGTTGATAAGAGTTAATGTATTTAATATAGATGTGAATGTGAGTCAGTGTAAGTAATGCTTATATTTGTCACTGTGCATACCGTTAACCTTTGATGTGTATTTAAAAACTGCATAACAAAAGCTGCTAGTTTGTTTTCTAAAATTTCTACCTTTCATTCAGTTTCTAAAATAATTTATGATATTGCTCTTGTACAATTTCAGCGGTTTGATCACAAGTGGTGGAATTCAAAAGTCTTATCTAAACATATTTTTGCTACCAGTTAAAAATTTTTTGCAAAATATCACCATTTCGTGACAACTTATACAAATGCCTAAAATTCTCATATATAAATTAAAAGTATCAAGTGAAAATAATCGTGCAACTCAGTCCTGTTAAAATGCTATTTTATATTACACCAAATATGGCATACTGTTTTTACTATAATAATAGTGTTATTAGTTCTTTTGCATTAATATAAATTTGATGGAAATCTTTCAAAATTCAAAGATCCCATTTCCATATGCTCTTTATATATAAATATATATATATATATAAAATAAAGACATAAAGTAATACTTTAGTGATAATTTTAGGCATGATTATATTTTATTTTTAAAAGAATTGTTTTGTATTTATATATATATATATTTAGTTTATATATATATATACATAAACTCAAAAACAAGCACTTTTGGAAAACCTCCATTGGGACCTCTTTTATTTAAAAAATTTTCGGAGCTATGTTTAGACACTGCATCCAGCTTTCGTGATTGCAGCACAACCCCCTTATACACATTTTTTCTTTCTATGAATAAAGATAATTACAGTCGCAGTGAATTATTTTATGCTCAAGAAAAAGGGGTAGAAAATTCATTGATATCCTTTATTAGCATCAAAGTCAGCGCTACAGCTATAAATTTTGTAATTTCAAATATCTTATCATTTATAAACTTTATTGTTAGTTAAGTGACAGAATTCTAATCGAATAAAATAATTATGAAGCCAGTAAAAATGAGGTGTAAAAACTGCTTCCTTAAGAAGGGTGGAAAGTATCACAAAGCCATGCAAGGTCATTTAACTAACAAGACAGGCTTTCGTAGAAAACTTTCTATTACTACTTAATAAGTAGCTTGCCTTAATTGTATTCATAAATGAAACTTTGGAGACTATAGTGAGGGTGAACGGTCAAACACTTTCTGTCGAAATAGGGACACGTTCAGTGATCTCATTCATTAAGTTATTGACTATCTTTTTCCATACGAAAACATTCATAAAATTAAGATCCGTTTGCCATTTCTCATCAACATTGATGGGTAGCAGTATTACAGATTCAGGTCTTACTCCACCATTGATGATCACACCTAGGGGGGGCAAATACATATGAATATATTTTTTCCAGGCCTACATCAAAATAACATTTTTTGAGCTTTAGTAGATTGGGAATCAAAATATTCATTTTAAATTTATTTTTATAAATTGAATTCTTTATAAATAACTTCACATTTACACATTAAAATGCTTTTAAAAATGCCTTGAAGAAAATGCTGCATAATATGATTGGTATGCACATCATAACTGCTGCACAAATTCGTGTTTTACAAGCTTATATATGTCTATAAATACATTCCATTTTTCATGCACCAGTGTTACAAATATGATGTTTTTGCAAGTCTTGTCTGCTTCACATAGTTGAATAAAAAAACGCATGGTCATTGCATTGCACTTAGCTGTGAACATTCTTCAAAAGTTGATGTAGACTTACATGTGTATCTTAAAATTAATGAACTCTGTTTCTAAATCGATGTTGATGTTTTGTTGTTCTCTCTTTTGATTAAACTGCTTAGAAGCATTACAAAATGTGCAACGAATGATGGCTGATAGTAAAATGTAAAGCAAATGCATCGTGAAATTTTAGCAAAACTCATATTTAACGCTTACTCACAATAACAAGAGCTTCTTAATGTAATGAAATATGTGCCACTTCAAATTGTTGTCTGCAATTTATGTTTTAAGTACATGATAAAGATATTTAGACGTTTAATAAAATATTGTTAAACTCCAATTAAGTTGTATTCGTCTATTTTCTTCTTAAATGTTTTAAAAATCATTTAACAAACACATTTCTAATTCCTGATATTTGAGTATGCATAGTGCCTCGATACAAATATAAATAAAAAATAGGATTATACCTAAATAAAAATCTGGATACAAGATATTTTAATCTGCCTTGAAATGAAATCTACAAGAGTGTATACATACACACTACTAAGATAAAACAAAAAACTTAAATAATGGAAAATAAATTCTGAGATTGTTTAAAATCTTCCATTTAGTAAAATTTTTCCAACCATAAGAAGTTTCAGTATTTTTAATGTTATCAGTTCTGAAACAAATGTAAATTTAACTAATAGCTTTGTACTGAAGATCAAAGATATTTAACATACGGCTATCTTCATCACCAGGCAAATCTAATACTATAAGGTATTTCTCCTGCCTTCTTAGCATGCCTTCGTGGTGTAATAGTCAGCATGCTCAGCACGTATTCTTTCGAGCGCCGGCTAAAGCATTGCTTATTTTTCATGTCCCAAAAACACCTAGTCTCTACAGTGGCGCCCGAAATTGTGTTCCTGGAAGTTGTATTGTTAAATTTCAAATTTAAAGTATTTAAGTAGGATTATATTATAAGGCTGGTTCTTCAAGTTCAATTTAAATTTTTTGAACAGCTCATTTAAAGACCTTATTTTCAAATATTTAAATTCTGGTGGAAAATATTTTTATGCTAACCAATTATTTTTAGTTTTTCTTTCCTTTCCCTCCCGATTACAGGTTCTGCCGGAATGTAAATTTGTTATGGCATAGATGCTAATCTAAATGTATTACAGAAGCAGTATTTAAGCTGCGTTTCAAAAGTTCGAAAAGAGTAGCAGCTGACTTAGTTCTGACTTTATGCTGCGTGTTTAAATTAAGATCTCTAGTAGGTGTTAGACATCTTCAGTTTATACTGATATTTGCACTATATGCTTCTTCTGCACATTCCTCTAACATAGTAATTCAAACTGAATACGGCTCTCTCATGACTTTTTGCAATTAAATCACTTTTGGTAATAAATCATACATGTAACGGTGCATAACCACAATTAAAATATGTGTTATGAATCACTTGCACAAAGTTCAGAATATTAAAAACTATAATGAAGGGGGATAACACTATTAATGATCCTACATAAATTTTATGGCAACATACTATTCATATATATTTATATATAAAAATCATAGGCATTAAAATGAAGTTAACTCTGATAAACGAAACAAAACTGGCCATCATCGAGTAATGATTTTTGGAATTTTAATAACTTAAAATGTTTCTCTTTTTATGCTACACTTTACAATTTATGCAGATTTTGACGAGATATTCAGCTCAACAAGTCCCTGAAAAATAGATGCAGAAGGTTGTAGTTCTTCATCTGCTTGATAAAAGGAGCATAATTTTCTTTTAGCAAGTGACATTTCACATGAGAAAAATAAGATCTGCCAACTGTATTTTGTAGTCCATATATCTACATTTTCTACACTGCCCACTTTGAGCCCATTCTCTTTGCTCTTTATCATTTGATTTATTTTGTTAAATAATTAATTCAGCTTTTGAAATTAGAAAAGAAGCACAATATCTTCGCATAAAACACATTTTAACCCTCCTCCCCCCCAAATATTATAAGTTAAGAAAAGCCAATTCCACACATGAACTTTCAATCAAAAATTCATACTATAATAATGGTAAATAAATTTGAAGATAAAAATTTATAAAAGAAAGTGGCTACACAAAAAGCAGTGTTTATAATTTATTGCATATATTATATATTTATTTTAATTTTTGTGTTATATTTTTTGTATTTATTTCACAAAAAGCAGTGTTATCACTGAACCTTCATAATACTGATAGTATAAAAACACGAAAATAAATAAAACACATACACTAATGCAATTTTTCTCAGCAACTTCCAACTGAGACTACAGATGGTTATACACTGCTGAGAGTCAGTACAGCCAAAAACACACAAAATGGCATCAAGTAAACTTGTTAATTTAATGAAAGTTTAGTTTCATAAGTTTTACTTTTTTCACTCAACATACTGAATACAATTTGTATGTTCAATACTTCAGCATTGTATCATGGTATGTGTATGTACATGAGTGTATTAGTCTGCTATTACCTAAAAGGAATTGCTTTCTCAATTCATGTAAAGTCATTTAATTTGCAATATAAAACTTTACAATAAAGGATTCAGTGCTATTTATTATGAAAACTAACAAAGCTTTTGTTAAAGCTGAAGTTATACAAATGAATACAATATCAAACATAACAGTATAGATGAAAAAAGGTGTGTAAGTTTATTATGCACTTCAGTAAATAAAACTACAATAAAATATGCCATTATAACAGATATAAAACACCTTTTAACATGCATACAATAATTCTTAACCACACAGTGATAAAGAAACATCTAAATAAAATTAATTCTATAGGATAATGATCCAATATTGGAAAAACTGATTCAATAGCAGATTTTCATCAATTATTTTAAATCTTAGTATATGCAAAATACGTTTCCACAAAACAGAAATGTTTCAAAATGCACTGCATTTTCATTTCTACGATTTGCACATTCTACAGAACACACTATAAACTTATTTTCAAATACTCTTGCTTTTAAATTACAATTTAATATACATTTTACTTGATTTCTTTTTTAAAAATTAACAAAATTTCATTAATACCCAGTATTTTATTCAAATAAATGTTTGTCTAAACCCTTATACTGCATTAAAATAAATACAAGAACTCATTAGAAAAAATCATCAAAAAATAACTTTCACAATCCCATTAAAACAAAACATTTGATTTTATTACAATTAATTTTTAAAATACATTTTTACAGTTAAATTGAAATAAATATTTATAACTGCAGTAGAATAAATAAAATATGGAACACAATAAATATTTAACTATAAAGCATCATAACATGGTTTGCAATTCAATAAAAGAAAATTTCTAAAAACATTTTTTACTTCATTGGAAATCATTTTGTTACATAAAGTGTCATGATAGACACAGATTATAATCATCTATTAGCATTCAAATGAAGATAAAAATTATCTGCATGGGCAGCCCATTTGAAGTCCACACATACTAACTGACTGAAAGTACTTATTTTCTTTAAAATTCCAGTATTGAATAAAATATCACACAGCCCTGTGAAAAGGGCTTTTGAAAGTGAGGAAATCATGCCCTTTGTGATCAATACTGAAGGAATAATGGCTTTCAAATCAATCGACTTTGACAACACTGTAAATTTTTCGGACAAACCAAAAACAGGCAAAAAATCCCACAGCACCTGTGAAAACAAGAGATATTAATAATGTAGAAAGAAACGTATACTTCCTGCAAACATTAAAATGATAATATGAATATTTTATCCAATATTTTATATAAAATAATTTATTATTTTATAAGAACTTTTTAACACCTCCTATTTCCTCAAGATTTTCTTTTTTAACATCTCAAAGATAGCAGATCTTCATTTTGTGACAAATTCCTTTTTTTTAATAGAGCCAACTGATGCAGCAGCACATTTTAAAAAATTTCAATGTTGTATTTTAAAAAGAATTTACAGCAACAATTTTTTAAGTGCAACTTTTAGTAGTTTTTTAAATACCAGAGCAGCATGTTTCGAAGTTTAATTCACAGCAGTACATAACTGAAATATTTTCGGCATGAAGTTTCAAGTACTTTAATTTAGAATTTTGAATATAAAAATTATCAACAATTATCTGAAAGCAAATAAAAAGCATGCCAATTATATTACAAACTTCAATTTAAAATTTAATTTCTCAATTACTTCATGGATCTTAAGTTCTGTTAGAAACCCAGCCTGGCTTCTATGAATTTATTGATTACCTACTTTAGTTTTTGGACATAACTAAGCTCTCAGTTTTGGACGAGTTTTCTATGAGAAATCTGTTAAACATGCCGAAAATAAAAACCTCAACCTTTTTCTCTCACTCTGTTGCTATTTTATTTGATAATTTCTAATGTACTCAACGTATCAGCCTTCCAATGGACCTGTTTAGTGGTTATTTCCCTTCTTTCTTTCCAATTCCTACTTAAAAAATCTTAAGCATCTGAAATATTCTGATTAGTGCCGCATATTTATTCCGGACTTTTCATTCCAGGTACAGTTGCTTATTACCAAGATTTACCCTATCTTAAAGTGCAAAACATTAAAATATTCTCAAATTGTATTACATAAGTTTACACATTTAGAACAGGTGACCAGTAATAAATTATCTGTATGAAGCTTCACATTACAATAACTGCTGTTTTACCTTTGAAACGAGTTATTGAACTTTCATTACAGATAATGCTTTCTTGTTTTAACAATTAAAGCTAATAAAATGCATAAGTTTTCATAAACACTTTTCAATACAGTATTGCTTTTTGGACCTATCTTAAAGTGCAAAACATTAAAATATTCTAAAATTGTATTACATAAGTTTACACATTTAGAATAGGTGACCAGTCATGAATTATCTGTCTGAAGATTTAAAGATTAGGTTTAATATATACAAAAGCTATATAAACATATTATGAAATTAGAAAAAAAGCTTCAACAGCCCTTTTACAAAGTGAATAAAAACGTTATATGTATCATTAACGTCTCCTTTTGCTCTCAGTCAACATGTTTTTATCACTGTCAGTGGAGATTAATGCTTTTTTTTCCCTTAGACTCCAAATATATATGATAAATTTCCAATGAAAAATGATTGTCCATGGGTTTTTAGCAGCCAAGCAAGGGTACATCAAGACTGATGGGACATTAGCAAGAAAACACTGGTCAGACATTTGCAGATAGATTTAGTTGTGGGCAGAAGCCAATTTAACTGACAGATAGAGAAGAGAATTTCAGGAAAACATAAAACTACAGAACTGCAATTTAATGCAAGTGTTACATAACTTCAAGGGCATGAAAATATCCCAATGTACAAAAATTTTTATTACATGGCTATATTTAACTTGTTTTCAAAATAATTCTCCTCAGATATGATACACTTCTGACAATACCTGCATAACAGTTGGAAAGAGCTGGAAAAGTTCTCTATCCAGACTGATTTTACTTCCTTCATCGTAGCAGCATGGATATGCGAAATGTTAGACTATCTATGCCCTTTAAGTGGAAATTTCAGTTTGGGGAAGAGAAAGAATGTGAGTGGTACAAATCTGGGTAATACATAGATTAGCACATCTCAACAACTTAATGGTTAGCAAGAAACTGCCGCCTAATTGTGCATTGTCATAAGAGAATACCTGAAATCCCAGTTTAGCAAATTCCAGTAGAACATGGTGTACCTAAACCAAGATTTGAATTAAAAAAAACCTTTCAGAAGAAACTCCATTTGTTCGGCCTTCTGTTATGGGTTCTTTGTGATTGGATATGTATTGAAAAAGGTAACCAACAGTCTTTTTATGTTCGACTTTTCAAAACAAAACTTTAGTGAGGGATTACAGCATTCCATGTTTTTATGTTTAGCTTCCAGATGTTACTGGAAGCACTATATACTTCACTTCCTGCAATACATTCTAAAAACAGGGGCTTCTATATCTGCCACATTCAAAGTCAACCTATAATTCTTTGGTTACATAGAGCTGGACAAACCTTGTACAAATTTTGAATTTACTCATACTTTCAGAAGCAATACTTCTAACCATTTCACAAGGAATATCCAATTCTTCATCCATCATTCAGACAGACAAATGCTAATCCTGCATCAAGAACTTGCTAACTCGCAACACTTAACATTCTCTTCTTCATCAGCCACCCACACCATTACTCAACTTTCATAGTTTCCTATCCTTTATGAAAACATTTAAACCACTTATTACATTGACTTTCAAGTCAAAACTACAACTAAATCTCACTAGAATGTAGAGTCATTAGGTTATTTTGATGCAGGAGACATGAAAAGTAAGTAATGCCCTTCCCGGGACTCGAATCTGGACGTCTCGAATACATGCAATGTGTGCTACCATTACAGCAGAAGGCATGCAGAAAGGAGGGAGAAAATACCTTATAAGACAATTTTCAGCTTGAAATTGGGTAATAGAATAACAGAATTTCACACAATATAAAATAAATAGATAAGTTCAAACTAACTCTCCCAAAATAGAATTTCACACTAATTCTCAGTTCCACTAAAAACATGGACTAAATGCCGTTGCATATGAAAACACCTGCCAAGAAAAATCTGCTCAACCCATAAGACATTTTCATAAGACTGTATAACTGCTCACTAGATCAGAGAGAACCTTATGCTTTCTTAAAACTCGTAATTCATGAATTCTAATTTATTTTTCAAGATCTTATTTTCAGAAATTCTTAAGACTAAAACAATTATTTCATTAAGAAAGAACAAGGGAAAGAATGAACAAAACTGTTATGCGAAAAAAAAATACAGGGTTTTTTCCCCATATGCTTTTTATTTAAACATTTGCATTAAAAACTGTCATTTAACAATTATTGAAAGTTGATTTTGACAGATTTTCAATGCATACAAGACACATATTGATTTACCTGCTAAAAGGAACATGCATTCAAACCCTGGAATTTCATAAACACAAAAAATTCTGTTCTTACAAAATCGTGCATATTTCGGAATTCAGAAATTTAAAGTTATTTCATCCATTGTCTCATAAATATTTACTTCCTTATACAATTAATGCAAGTCGCCATCAGCAATTTTGATATACATACAGCTTCAATAAATTAATTCTTTCAGTTGCTGAGATAAACTTAACTCACTTCAGAACTATCAGTCTCAGCAGTACCCCTGAAATAGACGGGCTACTGGCATTCAAGCTTCCATTATTATATCATCTATTTAACACAATTTTTGTCACATTTGCTATTTCATACTTTGAAGAACTCTTTAAAAAATAAATTTTCAACTGTCTTATTTTTAGAATTATGACAGAATTGTTACTAATATACAAGTGAAACATAACACTATCAGTTTCTGTATACATGGATACATCTAATACAATTCCTGAATTTTTTAATTAATAACTGGCGTGTTCAAAATCACTTCATTTCATGCATCACAATCAAAATGTATTGCAATAAAAACATGGCCTTAGATCAGGGTTTCTTAAACTGTGGGTCACGACCCCCAAGGGGGTCGCGGGACCTGCAGCAAGGGGTCGCTAAATCGTTAGCAGTTTTGATATTTCTTTCACTTATTATAATAATTTTACCATTACCAAATATTTTTACACAATGTATCTGAAAATAGATAACGATAAGACAATACAGAAAAAGAAAACGTTTCGACGCGTTCCTTTTATAATATAAACGTTTCCTTTGCTTTGCACGTGACGCTGTCATTTCGTCTATTACTCATTTAAAATTTTTACACTGCTATACGTCTTAAAATTAGAAATTAAAGTTAATGACCTAAAAGTGCAATAGTATATTACAGTACAAGTGAAAAAAACGGACAGTTTCACTCACGCGCATGTCAGATTTGCGCAATACTTATGGGGTCACACAAAATTTTTTAAAATATGGGGTCCTGGGGGTCGCAATAAATTTTCAGTGATAAAAAGGGGTCTAGACGGGAAAAAGTTTAAGAAACCCTGCCTTAGATGTATTTAAGATCACATTTTAAAATCATTCACTATTACTCTGAAATTCATTTTAATTATCAACTAAGTTCCCTACAAAGAGGCTGCAATTCACTTGCACCACCTGATAAGAAAAAATACCATTCAGATCAGGCAATATATACTTCATCAGGTAAGCGAGACAGATATTGTTTTTTAAATTTCTGAGACTCCAAAACACTTTTATCATATGCTGGGAATCTGAAAATATAAACAAAAATTCTCTCTTTTGTAAGTCTTAAGATCTTTTGCAGTAAAATTCTCAAGCAAAACTGCTCTATGTAACAAATAAAAGATCAATTTTAAGAAGGAAACACAATTTGCTACTATTTTTAAACAGAAAATAAACATCCTACTTACCAGTCAGAAGGAAAAACAAAAATACCATTATCAAAGTATAGCCAAAATACAAAAATGTTGATGTGGCACCAGTGATATTTAGCTTTGTTATAAAGAAATGGATACAATATATAAACAAATAGAATGCAGTGAAGCCACTTGTAAGGAATGCCCTCCACCACCAGTGGTAATCCTAAAAATGTGAATACAATTTTTCAAGATTAAAATAACACAAAATAAATAATATAAAAGTTACACAATTTTCTGCGAATGAACCAATTTTAATGAGAAAAAAGGTTGAAGTTGGTTTTTGTATCCTATCAAAACTCTCAGAAATGGTAAGTAACTTTAAAAATTTAAAAGCACTGCTTTATTATGATATAGCTATCCCCTACTTTGCAAAAATAAATTTTATGCCATTCTACTTTTAAGAAACACCTATTAACATAGGATCATAAGCTGATACAATAACATTTAACACAGGAACAGAGCAAAGACACTAATGCATCATTTATCAACTAACGCAAGAAATCAGAAAAGGGTTTTCGCACTTTTATGAAAAAGAAAGGTGAAAATTTTTAGGTATGATTTTAAATATCATTCAGTCAATAACTGTAATTACAAGTAAGCATGTTGGCTTACAACAGCTCTTCAGAAATTTTGATTGCATACAATTTAGATGAATAGACCTTGTTCTGCCAAATGATGACCTTATGGAAAGCATGAAATACCACTATGATGCATCTGTACATATTAGAAAATCACACTACAACTGAAAGTCTGCACACATTTTTGAATAATTCATTTTCTTTTAAAATTTCACTGTTGTGTTATTTCAAGTTCATTTCTTTCACAATACAGTTTCTTTCAATAAGTATATATATTTGGTCCTTCCCTATATGTTTGTATACGTATTTCAAAAAGAATATATATATTACAGTGTCATTTTGTCCAAACTCTTGATCACTGCACCTCTCCTCAGCTATTGGCTAAACGAATACATAGTCTAGTTTATATTAATAGCCGCTAGATGTCAGTTGTCTTCTGTTTTGCATGTCAACTATCACATGTTTAAAATGGCTACTCCGCAGCAGAAACCGTTTTGTGTTCTGGAGTTTGCGAAGTGCAATTCCGTGCTTACAGTGAAAAGACGCTTTAAGTTGAGGTACCAAAGTGATCCAACGAACGGGTGAAACATTCGCAGATGGTATCAACAGTTTGTAAATACAGGATGTGTATGCAAAGGAAAGAATCCTGGCCACCCTCGTGTTCCCGACGAAAATGTTGCCTGAATTCAAACTGCTTTCCAACGTAGTCCTTCAAAATCAACTCGTCGGGCCAGTCGGAAGTTACAACTGCCTACAACAACAATTTGGCATGTTTGGAGACGTCGGTTGGTTTTGAAGCAGTACAAGTTACATTTGTTACAGGCTCTGCATCCTGATGACAAACGCAACGTGTGGCATTTTGTAACGAGATTATTGATGCTACTGACAATGATAACACTTTCGCACAACACATCGTGTTCAGTGACAAAGCAACTTTTCATGTTATTGGTCACGTAAACAACTACAATGTTCAAATTTGAGGCCTACAGAACACACATGCAGCCATTGAACATGTACGAGATTCGCCCAAAATCAATGTGTTTTCTGTGATATCCCGCTTATCTGTTTACAGCCCATTCTTTGAAGGAAACATGGTTAACGGTCAGCAATATCTCGCTATGTTACAAAACTGGTTGTTTCCGAGGCTGCATGAAGACAACTTTATTTTTCAACAAGACAGGGCACCCCCCTCACTGGTGTCACCAAGTGCGTGATTATCTGAATGAAATTCTACTAAACCATTGGATTGGTCATGAAGGAGCTCAGCATGTCTCAGCTGGCCTCCACGGTCACTGGATTTAACACCCTGTGACTTCTTCCTGAGTGGTTTCATTAAAGACATTGTTTATGTACCACCACTCTCACTGAACCTGGAAGAAGTGAAGAACCAGATCTGTACTATCATAACATCAGTGACGACTGACATGCTTGCCCGAGTATGGAAGGAATTTGAGTATCGATGTCATATTGCTCGTGTCACTGATGGAGGACATATTGAACATCTGTAATCTGAACTTGAGAGGTTCATACATATATGTGTAAAGTTTCATATTTGTATGTCATACAGTTTAATAAATATATGCATTCAAAATATGTATAGTCTTTTTGAAACATGCTGTATTATGATGTTATCTCAACACAAATTCATTGAATTCTATGTGTCAATTTTGAGAAATAAGTATTTTTTCACATGTAAAGATAATTTTGGATATCAAAATACAAAATGAATGAAATGCTTACACAAAGAACCAAAAACATGTGCATACATGAAACTGATTAGAACTTACCTCAGCACATAAGTGAAAATAACACAGAAGAATAGTTGTCTCAGAGCATGTAATAATAAGGATGATGAATACCAAAAACAGGAAACCAAACATGTAGTATACCTGGCTGGACCTTTAAGAAAATTTTTAAAAAGCCCATTAAGTAACTACTTTTAATCATATTCTTATGAAAAGCACCACAAAAAATATATCTATTAATTATGACAAATAAATGCTTAATTATAAAACAGAAACTGAAATCTGGTAATTATTCTGAATATTTATAAGAAATGTGTTAAAAAAAACAAGTGAACAAATACTGCAAAGTTCCCATATGGGATAGCAAAACAGATTCACTTCAGATTATGGAAGTATAGTATAAAATCCAAGATCCAAACTCATCAGCACTTAGGTGATTCCAGATTTTAGATTATCAGTTTAAGCCTAGCAAGATGACATGTAAAATTTCTTCATAAATTGCATCAACAGGAAAATTTCACTTTTTGTTTGTGATATCTGAAGACCTTCAAATTCACAGGTATCATCATAAAACTTACTTGGCATCCATTACACATTATTGGCAATATATCATCAGATAGGTGACTAAAGATGTTTTGTTTTGCTTTTATCACATGCTGATGGAGTTAAGCATAAATCATAGCATTTTTTTAGTTATTTATTATACTTACATCTACTTCCCAAATATACTTGAGACTTATCTGAACCAATCACTTCTTGTTAATTCAAATAGCAGTAAATGTAATATTTTGATCTATGATATCATTTACAAAATCTTTTTTTTTTTTTTTTTCCCATAGAGAAATCTCTGTTAAATTTTTCCTTGTCAACACATTCAACACTTCATAGTAGAGTTGGTTGAAATCCGTGATAATCGCAGAACATAATGTCAACATAAAAGATTGCCATGCTGTATAATTTTAAAATAAAGTTTTAAGAGTTATATGAGTTATTTCTCAAGCTGCCATCAGTTAATAGTCATGTGGTGGTGGAAGCAAAAAATTATTCGCCAGGCAGACATCAGGGATAGAAATTAGTTAATGGATGTGAAATCAGTGATGACAGGTAGAATGTTTTGATTTTGAGACATATGCCAAGTAAAAAGCCAAATTATACTATAAAGCCAACTTATTGATCATGCAAAGTTATGGTAATAAGTGATTTTGTTTCAACACAAAAGTGTTTTATTTAGTGCTGAAAGCCAGGGGCTCCCAAACTTTTTCAACATGCATCACATTTGCAGTTTTGTTATTTTTCCACAGCATCCCAGTTGCAATATTTGTACTACAACATTAATAAGGCATAGACATGAAAGCGACATTTTAGAGAAAAAGTATTACTTTAATTGATGAGAAAGCATGTGCACTAAATACAAATAAAAGAAACCTTCAGTGGCAGATTAGGAAGTCAATGTGACAGGTGAGCTTGTTGATCCCCACAGAGTTTTTTAAATTGTGGAAGAAAGCTTGACACAGCTAGTCTCATTTCTGGCTCCACAATGACTTTTGAGTGGTGTTTGGTCCTTAATACAGTGGCAGCTTAAAATCCAGCCTCGCATAGATAGGATGTTGCAAAGGGAATGAGGATCCTTAGAGCTTTAGAACTTAAAAGTTGGATACTCAGTTTTGATTGAAACCCAAAGCTCCATTAAATCTGAGAGAGCAAATTTTTTTTAGAATTTTATCTCAAATGAGTTCAATTAATCTCCCCTTCATCTCAAGAAGTAAAGTATTGGTGTACTGAAGAATTAAAAGAACATTAGATCAATATAAATTTCTCTACATTTTCTTCAGCAGAGTATTTTGCGAACCAGTCAGTAAGGTTTCAAGGTTTTCCATGAAAAGGGACAGAAATTCCTCTAGAACAATCACTTTATTAGAACCTGTGTATTAGTACAATGTAGAAAAACAGTCTTAAGCACCATAGTCATTCAATTTTCTTATCCACAGCTGCAGCTTTTTCCTAAACTCTGAAATCTTTTCTGCAAGTTTCAAAATGCACATACGTTGTTCTGTAAAGACAGATTCAAGACACTTAGTTTCTCAAATATATCACACTAATATGCTAGTTTCAGCAAAATGTCTGGTTTGAATACTTAGAGATAAATACTTAAGGATCACATGGCTTTCCTATTGCAGAAAAGTGTAAATTTATGCACTTCAAATGCACGAGACAGGATGCTCCCATGTGAAAGCCATTGTGAACTGCAATAAAGCTGTGTTCAACTTCCATGTCTCAACATAACTTTTTTAAAATTCTTGCTTTCAGAGGTCTAGTTTTTCTGTAGTCTACGACACCTTCCAATGCTAAATTCAACTGAGATTATTTGAAGCAAGTATTTTTCTGCAGTCCAGACAGCATGTGGTGATTTTATGCAAATTAGTGTCCGAAAACTACTTGGGCACCAGTACATACACTGACGTACTATCTCCAAACTAAATCATTTGCCATTATAAACTTGCCAAGCATTTCGAACAAGTCGAGACTTTGAGCTTTCAACAATACTCTTACAAAACTGAAGAATTTTAACAATAATATTACCATCCAAGAAGCATACATAACGCCCAAGATTTGCAACTTTGTACTGTCAATATCCTCATCATGTTGGAGACCAAATTCATTTATCATTTTCTCTATCAACTTAGCATAGAGATTGTGAGCTATATATTAAATCTTTGAATAATAGTGTTGTTGGACCTTAGAACTGAATTTTCCCACAAATTTTCCCACATAAAATTTACCAGGTCGAGGGCAGACAGTAGAATAAGCTCTTCTGCAATACCATGCAGTTATTTTGCAGTTTGCTCTTCGCAGAATTTAGCTGTACATTATTTGGAACTATTTGGAGCTTTCTTTTATTAAAAAGTTGCAGTATTTACAAAAGCAAAGCAGGATAGCTTGAAACGATTCATCCTCACTTGGACGACAAATCTCATGTCGACCAAGTTAGGATAAATGGTCGCAAGATACTGCTTTAGCTTACTTGGGAGCAAAGTTTCGAGTGCAAAGACCTTTAAGCAGACATCACACCTGTCATCTTTATTTACTTCTGATGAAGTAAACAAAATCACAGTAACTCTCCTTGTAATTATAAAATTTTTGCTTCTTTTCTTCTGCACCAGTTGTTGATGCTTTATCACTCAAACTATCTTTAATATCGGTTTGCTTGTTTAGTAAAATTATTTTCATTTTACAAAATTTTAGAATGGACTTGTCGATTTATTGCAAGATTTCATTGAACTCACGACTTTTTGGTAGATGTGTGTTATGTACTTTTGAGTGGCACCAAAGGGTTGCCTACTAAGTTGACAGTAACACTTAAATTTTTCTAACAACAGTAATATATACTAATACTAATAAAACTTGTACGTTTGGCGTTGTGTTTCAGATTAACCCTGTAATCAAAATGAGTAGTAGACTGGTGAAAGACATGAGCACACACACACAAAAAAAAATAAATAAATAAATAAATAAATAAACATTGACTGATCCAGAAAAGTAAGCCTATTTATTAAACTCTTAAACAATTAAATTAATTAATTAACTTTGTATGCAATTTATATTCAAGCAGATCTGTAACCAGTTAAGGAGAAAATATTACCAAATTATATACATTAAATTTGTATGCAATTTATATCAAGCAGAAACTGTAATATATTGATTTCTACAAAAATGTATAACCCTACCAAATAATATTACATTTTTCTTAAGACTCTATAATATCAAACTATTATTTCAATTACATTCAGGTAAGCATAATCAGATAAAACTTTTGGATAAATTAACAATACCCTCCCCGGGGAGGAAAAAACAAAATAATTAACAATTACACTTCCAAAAAAAAAGAAACATTTCACACAGCATAATCAATAAATGAACTGGGTACAGAATCCAATGGAATTAAGGTTATTGCACATTGTAATCTACTGTTTTCAAAAAAAATAATTTAACCAGGTAAAATATTAATTGAAATCAGGCTTTTACATCTTACAAACAATTTAGTCCCTTAAGCGGAGCAAAGAAGCTCAAATTAATGGCACCTTACATAAACAATCTTAACTATGAAAGAAAATTCACTGGTTCAATTAAATAATTTAATGAAGATATATTTCCTTAACCAATCTAAGTTACAACTCACTGTTTCAATTAAATAATTTAATTAAGAATATATTTACTTAGCCAATCTAATAAATTACTTTATCGACAAGCAAAAAATTATTTCATTAGAATTAAGTTAATTTACTCAACTACAAAATTTTAATTCAAACTAATTAAGTTAATTTTATCCCTATTAACTGCAGTAATTCTTTAACAACAGACTATCGAAGGAAGAAAAACAAAAAAATAACTTATCTGGAAGAAGGATGTCTGGTCGGCGAGATGGAAGAAGTGAAAACATTCATATGGAGAAGTATTATTATTTGAACTATTGTCTTTAGTTGAACTCGAATCCACACTATTGATGTTACAAGTCCTTAAGTCCCACATAGAGAAGAATTATTAAATGAACTATCGTCTTTAGTTAAACTCTAATCCACACTTTAGAAGTGACAAGTCCTTACGTTCCAACATAGAGAAGAATTATTAGATGACTGAGGGAAGACGGCTTAGCGGAATCGATGAGAATCAACCTCACGGAAAGTAGAAACTCAGAGAGTAGACACAACCTCTTTTACTGAATTTAGTTAGCATCTGCTTTGCATGGGCGACCCCGGAGATGACAGCGAAATTTTCTTGCATTGTGAACATTAATTACATAGTGGCGTAGTAGCATACCATTGTAGCAGATGACGTCTAGAAACTGATATATATATATATAACATATTTTATGGCACAAATTTTAAGAGGCCCCTTTTCTTTCCATTTATTATATATATATATTTTAGTATTGAGTAACTTAAGCGTTAAAGATTGCAAAAAACCAACTAAGAGAAAAATAAGTCCGTCGAAGGACAAGATGCCGAAGCTATGGCAATCGTTCAAAGCTCAGGGGCAAGAAGCCCGTAGATCCACCTGTTGGAAAATTCATCTTTCCGAAAAAAATCAGCTTACTCCGCGGTCTGCGAGTAGCAGCCTCCGATGTCAAGTCAAAAGTCCAAAAAAGGTGACTTTGTC